AAGCTAACCGACGCCCTGCTTCAAAACTCACAGCGGGGCCGATGCCCCCGCTCAAAATGTTCTTAATGTGTATGCTCTTTGTTTGCATTTGGTCTTTAATTGGGACCAACTGGCTTCGCACGAACGACCAGGGCCAAGAGCAGGAAGCTTCTTTTTTTTTTTTTTCTGCTTCAAACGAGCTGCTGAGAGTTTGGGTCTTTTCCTGAGCGTGCTATTATGAAAAGAGAGATTTAAGGCTAGCCAGTGTGGCAGTATGGCAGCTATGTCTTTCTCTATAATCTACTTGTCAGCGCACATTGTCCACATCCCACATACCTGTTCAGACAACACTTGCACGCGGACGTGTGTGAAAAGGCGCCGTGTTATGTCACCGTAGTCTGTCATTCACGGGAACCGCTCCCAATTGAGCTTGATGGTGCTGAAATCACTCTGGAGTTTTCAGGACCATAACAGGGGAGCGTCTTGACTCTCAAGACTAAACAAACCAAATCTCCAGAAACAGGAAACAAGCTCTTTGATTAGCTCCCTTGATGGGGGGTGGGGGAAATTGAGGTAGTTTTCTTTGGGTTTATAAAAAGATTGTATACTTTATTGAATTTTGTCCTCATCTTAGAATTGATACCGTGTTCACTTGTACTTGGTGTTAGATTACTGCATCGTGCCTAGTGAGGCCAATTTGCAAATTAAGTGAAGCACCTGTCCGAAAACATCTCCCCTGTTCATTGAGCTGAGGGACGGGTACGCGCCGTTATGGCCGCCGCTTCCTGTTGTTGGCTGTTATGGTCACGACTTCCTTTTTTGTCCCATTATGGTCATGACTTCCCACTGCCACGTTATGATTACGACTTCCCGCCGTCCCCACTGTTATGGTCGCGATTTACCACTAACCCCCTTCCATCAAACAGTCTTATGCCACGTTACGTCACGGTGGTTTGTCTTTCACGGGAACCGCTCCCAGTCGTATTAGATTGGGATGAAAACACTCGAGGGTTTTTGGCGGCAGGCAGGTGTCGCAACCTGATCGCTGCTCTTCAGTCCTGTCCAGCTGAGTACACAAGCTAATCTGGTCGGGCTTCATCACATATTTGCTCCTGATAACCTTCTCACCGACCGGACAGTTCGTATCCCATCGAGAGGAAATCCACTAAGGATGCACTTGAACGACCAGTCAGTCAACATTTGCACCCCCGCCTACCCCGTACAACCACTCCAACCCACCCATTGAATAACTCCTCACCACAACACATTTCAGCCAGCATGAAAGGATAGAGTTAAATTAAATGTGAACTAACTGGACATATTTAAAGCCGAAAGGCTCTGATAGTGGCCAGCGCGAATGTTTCAGTGTCCTGACTGTCTTGAGAAGACTGCCAGTAGTCGCGTGTCGCTTCTGTTTAGTGGTTTCATTTTTGATAGGTTTCGACTGGATGTTTTTGTTCCCATTCCCACTGGCTTTATGGGCTTCCTCAGACCCACTTGTTGTCGTTTACATTCCATTTCATTTCATACTACGTTGTTTAAATAGTGTTTCATTGTTTTGCATTCATCTTAGAGTGGTTAACCTCTACCTACCGCTTGCATAGTTGAGACATGTTAAAATGCGCCGGTGGCGTTCATCCATGTTTGATGATGTCGACACGCTGGAGTGATTCATTCCGGATGTAATTGATCCCTATGGCTTACTGTACAGCGGGAATGTGTGAGAGTTTACAGCAACACAAGGACGCTTTCGGAAGACATTTAGACTCATTGGCGCAAGAATCAAACGCAAGATACCGACAACAGGGGGAGAAGCGCCGGGCTTCTATAGGGGCGAGTGGCAATGGCCGTAACACACCGGTTCACAGGCTCCTCACTCTTTCCGATCAACAGAACTCAGTCTGTTTTGCGTGTGAATGTACTTTGGCTTGTTCTATTTTAAACCCCCTCCCCATACCCCGTTCAACCCCGCCAGCTCGCCCCTCCTCAAAGTGCCGCTGAGAGCGGGATGAGGCCCCGGGTTCACAGTAAGGATGGTAACGTGCAACACATGTAGAATTTCCTTCTGTTTCAAAACAAGTCCCATGTAATGGATTAGCTCTTGATCCGTCACGTCTATCATCCCCTACTGGTCTGTAGGTAAGACATCACAGTGTGAAAGGGGCACAACGGCAAGACGTTGCTCCCAAAACATAAGATAGCGGGAAGGATAGAAGGACGTTGTGGAACAGCAGAGACAGCAGTAAGTCGCGACCATAACTAACACGAGCGGCAGCAGGAAGGATAGAGGGAATTGGCGACCAAAGTTAGGATAGTTAACGAATTGAAATTGAAAATTTCAATTTCAGAAATACAACAGCCATTCAGGAAAATTAACATATTTCCCAAAATTCTCGATGGCCAACCCGCCCCTGAAAAGAGGCGAACCTCACCCCATCTTTGTGAATGACTGATTAATCCAAGGAAGCTCCTTTTACACCCAATCATGTTCCCAGGTATCCCGTTCACCAGTGGGATGTTCCAAACAGGCGTTTGATGCGCATTCCTCTACTTTCTCAGTCTTTTTTGCCACCTGCTTGTTTGGAACGTGTTGCAGCCATAAAATTCTCAGTTAATGATTATTTGCCAAAAACAAAACGCTTATCAGTTTGAAGATGAAATATCCTGTCTTTGTGGTGTATTCAATTGAATATCAGTTGAACATGATTTGCAAGCCATTGTATTCTGTTTTGATGTATGTTGAATGTCCCAACTACATTGGGAATTGGGTTTGTATTAAGCCATGACTGTTTTACGCCACCCTTATCCCAGTCAAATTCTAAATAGTATGACCTGAGAAGCATTCAACTTCAGAGGTTCCACTTTGCATAATTACAGTAGTTTAGTTTGATTCTCAAATAGTATCAGATGTATTTGTTTTTTCAACTGCTCTTTTCTGCGGCAAGCATTGCGGCTGAAGACACTAAGAAAAGCAAGCTTCAAAAACTTCGGGCAGCATTTTCGGTCAGGGTGTGTATCTCGCCACCATAGACAATTCAATACGGTTTTCGCTTAGTCGAGTTTGAAGAGATTCAAGGATGGTTTGATTTGTAAGTGGAACGATTCGATTTGGGTCAACTCGGTGGGATTACAATTTGATTCGACATGGTTCGGCTCAGTTCAAGAGGGTATGATGCGATTACTTTTTTGTTGTCATTTTACATACATTGGAATGAACTTGTCAGTTCTGAAAATGTGCCATTTCCTAATAAGATATAGCTCTCCAATAAAGGCCGGTCCGATGCATCTCAATATATTTCAGAGTGCGACAATTTGATTAAGTTTGTTTTTTGTTACACCCTTAATTTTAGGATACATTTCACTTGAAATCTGCCATCATTTGGTTTGAATGCTGCTTACAGCATGTTGTTCCCACTTGAAGGTGAACCGAATCCATGGTGAGGCATTTCAATCTACCTGTTCATTTCTTGACTTTTTTTTTTTTTTTGCCGCTTACGTTGGCTTACACAGTGAGTCAGAATCAACAGAGTGGTTTTCATCCGCAGCCTGAATGACTTTCTCCATTGAGTCACTGGCCGCCGGTTCACTCGATTGCAACATTGCAGATTATACGTATGGGAAGCCATAAGTGTCGTCACATGGGTGCCAAACTGCGGTTATGCAGGGGTTGATGGTAGTTTTAAGTTGCAATATCACCAATCAACACCAGATGGCAGACATGTCTTTGTTGCACTTAAGAGTCGTATACTGCCCTATAAGCCAATAGGTTTTTTGTTTGTTTGTTTGTTTGGGGGGCGGGGGTTAATGATATGGAGTATTAACATATTAGTAATATTACAATTTTCAGTGAGTTGATTTCTGAGGGAAAAAATACAAAAGTAGTTCTTTGCACTTAATGTTGGTTTCTTGTTCAGCAGTTCTGTGCAATTTTTTTTATGCAGTCAAGCCCTTTGCACTGGAAACAAAAATCTTCAACCCCTTTGTTGTTTGGTTAGGATAGTGGATCTTTTGCACATGCATCAAAAAATCTACAGTCATATCAAAAATGAACTACATTAAGACCACACATTTTGTCCACATTTAATGCAGCTCCTTCAGCCAGAGACTGATACACCCGCGCAGCAAGAAGGAGAGGTACCGCCACTCGTTCCTGCCGACTGCTGTCAGGCTATTGAATAGACAGACCTGAAAATCTGGACTCACCCCCACTCACCCATTTTTAATCTGCCCATATTTATATTTTATAATTTATATACTTTTTGTGTGTGTGTGTGTGTGTGTACGTGTGTGTATATAGGGCAGCCCGGTAGTCGAGTGGTTAGATGTAGGGCAGCCCGGTAGTCGAGTGGTTAGCACGTCGAATTCACAGTGCAGAGGTACCGGGTTCAATTCCAGCTCTGGCCTTCCTGTGTGGAGTTTGCATGTTCTCCCCGTGCTTGCAGATATATATAGAGATATATATCTCTATATATATATAAAATTCGTAATTTTACTGCTGTAAATTGGGAATTTCTCCATTTTGAGACAAATAAAAGTTTATTTATCTTATAAGATTCAGGGGTTCCCTTGGTCTTCAAGGTACCCACTATATCAAAAATAAAATGTGGGTTAACAAGCATGCAGTTCAGTCAGTTTAGTCATTTCTATTTTCTGTTGGTTCCTATAGTTGCTGTTTCTACAAACTTTAGACATGGGGTGAAGAATACCTAAACTTGGTCTTTGATCATATCATGAGGAAAATGTATACACAAGTCATTCAAAAACGTGGTTCTTTGAATTGAAACAATTAATCATGTGTCAGAACGCCAAAAGACATGAAATGACATAATTATTAAGTAAAGCGTTGTAAAAACGTGACTTTGGTAAAACCGCAACGGTCACTAGTGTAACGTCTCGCTCCTGTAAAGGGCATAGAATGGCGTTTTAAAACATCTAGCTTTGTGTGTTTTGGGGGGGATGTCGTTTTGTGGGATGTTTGCTGCTCATGTGTTGGAGGAAAAAATAAAGATAATTTGACTTACTCTCCGTTGCGGCGAGCCGGAGAGAGGACAACACGGCCAGCATCAGACCCCCAAACAAGGTCAAGCGGCTCCTTTCCATTCGAGCCCTCATTCCCGCGGACGTAAATCCTCTGCCGAAAAACTGTAAACAAATACGCCCGTCGAGTGGGTGTACGGGGTTGAAGGAGGAGAAGGGGGCGTCCGTCCGTCCGTTTACAAACCACTCCGGCTTATTTCTGGGCGACGTGTGAGGGAGAGAAATGAAGCCTTAAAAATCTTCAGCCAGCGCCTTTTAGCCGTTAGCCGGCTAATGGAGCTAATGGGTTAGCAGCCACGAGCTAGCTCGCGGAGTCCCGCTTGAAAAATCTGCGTTTCAACACTCGCCTCAATGTAAATCCGTTAAGGAGCCGCTTAAACGCCGGTAAAAGGCACAGGGCGTTGGTGAGGGCGGCGGGACAGATACGGCTAAACGGGGAGCGGCGGGGATTCCTGTGTAAGCCGCATCTTCACGCTCCATGTCGTGGTGGTGTGGGGGGCGAACGCATAAGGTCCCGGTGCTGGTGGAGATGGTATCATCCGGAATCAAATCTTGTCTTGAAAACTTGGATTACACATCCCCTCCAAAAAAACAGTCCAGTGGCGTGAAGGAGGCGAGTTTGTCTGGGGAAGAAAAATATTCAGCAGAGTAGCGCGTTTTTTTTTTTTTGAAAGGAGACCGCAGTCTCCCTCTCCTCCTTGCCTCCTCCCCCTCCTCCTTCAGCCGCTCATTATGCACGGACTCACCGCGCTGTTGTTGTGGTTGCAATTCATCCTTCTAGTGCGACTACGACGTCAGGCCACGGTCACTACATGCGCTTAAACGTCCTTTGACACCGCCTGGGATGTTGGTGCGTATAAATAACAGCCCTCAATCTGTCCACTGCAGACTATAGAACGTCGGTAGACGAGATTAAACGCAGCGCAGGTACGCGGAATGTCCACTTGCCTCGCGTCGGTCTGCAGTCTGCCTGTAAACACAAGCGCAGCTCGCGAAGATCGCGTCTTTTAATAATGACAGATCACTGCGCAAAAACTACCACTGAAACGGGGGGGGGGGGTCACACATTATTTGGGTTGCAGGACTTTTCAAGGACTGACAAATGTGATAACTTGTAGCTGAAACAAGGTGACCACATTGTTTTAAGTCGATCGTGAAATAAGTTCAAACGTCCGTTCGTCATCACCGAAAATTGGTAAAGAGTGGTATGTCTTCATTATAATATATCTTTGCTCATCACTCTAGCCTCCGGAGCGGTGAGATGGAAATCCGGGGCGCCGATCCAGGAGGAGCAGGCTTGTTTTGCAGTCTTTCCCTCACACACACGCACGCAACACGCCGCCAGTCAAATTAGAGGCATTACAAGTCGTAAATGCGGGTTACGTAAACCGCAACAACAAATACGATTTTCAGTGTGGGAATCTTGGGAGTGCTGCCACATTCGCGTGCATTTTCTATATGTCATTAACATGCGTGCACAATAGGGAACATGTGATTCCATGACCGCTGTAGGAAAACAACATTAATATGGAGCATAATATACAAAGTTACTCTATCACAGGGAGGAATTGGACTCATTCTCAGCGATGGAGTCTCTTGTCTTAGACCAATCCACTTTAATTCACATGCAACGTTTTCATGAAGATGTACAATTTTAGCCTTATTAGTAGTGTATCAGTCTAAAATAGCTTACGTTACCATCCAACGATATTTATGTTGTATTTGATCAGTAATCAAAATTACAATTGAATGTTCTTACAAAGTCACGATCAGTGTTGATTTGAACAAGTATGAGAACATAAGGAGAGGCAGCTTTATTTCTAGAGCACATTTTATCCATAAGATAACTCAATGTGTTTCACACAAGCAAAGACACAACACCTACACCATTTAAAAACAACAGTTACCACATTCAGAAAAAGAATAAACAAAAAAAAGACGACACAAAATTAAATACATCAAGAGGTGGGGTTTAAGTGGGCCACATGTATTTCTGATGGGCTACAGCCCTCTTTAGCCCGGTGTATCGCCATCCTTGTCTGGATGCAATTAATTTCAAAGAGGTAGCTCCTTTACTCAACTCTGCAAGTGGCCAATCAAATTTTGCCCTGCTTTGAGGTCCTTTCAAAAAAGAAAAAAAGGCTAATTTCTCGACAGCATTCGCGTTATTGAAACCTGGACTTTTTAAAACCACGGTAACCATTCACATGCCTATCATAAATTGTGTTTAAAAAAATAAGCAAGATGCCTTGCTGAATAATCCCAGAACGGCATCATGCGCGACGTGCTGCAAATAAAAATGACATAATCCATGAAGTGTTTCAAAATAGCCTCAAAAACCCAAACTAAAAGCAGCCCCTTACCGCCTAAGGGGGGAATCTGGTGTTCCGAATCGGTGGTTGTCTGTGATCTTTGCACTGAAATGCTGCCACCCAGAGGGAAAATATAGCATCTCATGCCTGAGATTGTTATGCAGACGCTGTACAGTTACAGTAGTCTGTGGATTTCTGAGGCCCAGGCAAGGGTTAGGAGGAAATTGGTATTACAGGAGGGTGGGGGAGCACGTGATGCTTTGAGCAGACAGTAAACACAACCATGCTGAGCGGAACCCCAAACCCCCGCCTGGGCCTATAGCCTGCCATCGCCCCCGCACCTTCTGACCGCTGTGATTGTCACTGTAATTACGGTCGCCTTTCTTCACTGTACAGAGGCATCGTTTGAACGCCGTACATTACCTCAACTCTGGCAGAAACGCAACAATTAGCACTGCGAGGAAAGGCAAGCTTCAAAAATCCACGGCGGCCCACCCAAGAGTCCAAATACAGTGAGTCACTCTCTAACAAGTGCTCACTGTACCAACATGACCTGGTTTCATCAGAGTATGAAGAGGGCTGTCGACTTGCATTTGTTAAGTCTCCCGATGAAAGTCCCCGCGAAGGCTGTCGGCGGGCCCACCTACCACGAACCGTCGAGCCTGGAATCCATTCTCGCACTGCACTCATGTGGAAATAAGCCTGTTTACAATCAACGGCTCGCACATGCTAATGACCGTCTGTTTGTTTTCTGCCGTGGTCATGTGGGAGGAAGGGAATTTTTCTGGTGGATAATAGATGATACGCAGACAACAACCAGGTGGTCTGGCTGAGGCCTACTCGGATTGCACCGAAATCCACAATCTCTCCTGCCCTGGTTTGACAGTACAGGCGCACTTATGTATAAGGGGGGGGGTGGGCTGGTACACCTACTGTACTTTGCACTTGTCCAAAACTATGGGCTGTGGACAGGTACTGTACTGGTCCATGGGCCATTTACTACTGGGCCAGACAGAGAGACTGAACCAAAAAACAAAAGGCTTGAAGTATGCAGTTTTGCATCGTAATTTGCAAGGCAAAATATGTATTTTGCACCTCATTAGGACACATCCAATACCAAACCTGAGAGTCAACCATGGTCCCAAAAAGTTTGGCTGACCGCACGCATGCCTCTCACATCCGCCGTAGGTAGTCAGCGGTCAAGTAGCTACTTATGCCGCACCAGCGAGCTAGTGACCTTTTTCTTTTTGTGCATGCAAATACTTGTTTTGTTTTTTCTACTTTCTCCTTTTCATATTTTTTGCTGCTGTAAATTGTGAATTTCTCCACTGTGAGACAAATAAAGGTTTTTTTTTTTCTTCTTCGGCTGGCGACTCATGTGGCTACGTTGTGGAATTGCCCTTACAACTCCACACACAGCAACACGAGCACAGACAGACACAGCGTGGTGAAATAAAAACAATGTAGTACAATATGGTATGTTTTAGTGTTTTCGTATGACGCAAAGTCATCCCATTGTCACTTACGGACATTACTCAGGGACTTGATACCAAAGGAATCCAGTCTTTATATTAAGTTTGGCAGACTGTTGATTGTTGGAAATAACTTTTAAATGGATGGTTATACTGGTAAGAATTTGAGTTAACCCCAACATTTTAGGTGTAAGTCTTTCAACGATACCTTTAGGCTACATCAAAAAGTGTCCGAGCTCGGATTTTGGATGTTTTTACTGGCTGACTTCTATCTTTCTTCCTCTTTTCCTTCCTTCTGCTTATTTCCCTCCTCTTTTCCATCCATCCTTCCTTCCACCCTTCCTCTCTTCCCCTTCATCCTTCCAACCCTTCCTTCCTTATTTTCTTCTATTCTTTCATACCATTCTCCGTTCGTTCATCACTTCATTCGTTGGTTCTTGCCTTTATTTCTTTGCCCTTCTTTCCTTGCTTCATTCCCTCAACCTTCCTTAAGTCATTCTTTTCTTCCTTAAATAATTTTATTTAAAAATAAGCAGTTAAGATAACCGATGGATGGATAGATGTATTTCAATTTTGGCCCATCCTGTAAATAATTTACGACACGACAATTTGTGAGATGGTTACCTGAGTTAGCATTGTGACGCAATTAAAGAGCCCCCTCTACTGGTAAATCGGCGTAACACAAAAACAAACGCATCCTGGGAAAAAAGGGTTGACGCCTTTTCGTTTCTAGTCAACTCTTACAAGGTGGTGCCTCGCTACTAGAATTATGATAATATACAATATACTCTATTTCTGTATTAAAAATAAATACATAATATAAGCATATAATTAATAAAACATTTAAATATCTTAAAAACGTTGATCTGGTCTCGCGGTATTCCCTCGCGCATTCAACCAGCGCCCATCTCCCTGTGACTCAAACGAAGCACGAGCATATATACATACGTAACAAATGATCGATGCGTTTGGGTTTTTTTTTTTTGCTATTGTTTTCCTTTTTTTTTCTTTTTTTTTTTTTGTTTCTCGTCGAGTTTGAAATGCGAGGACTTAATACCGGAAATGGACGGGGAAAACTTCCTATTTGGAAACCCCAAGCTTATCTGTGGAGCTGTTGCATCGGGTTTGCTCTTAAAAAAACGTATTGGAGTTTACGGACGAGTAAACATGATTAAAGCTATATTAATATTTAACAATCATGGAAAGCCGCGGCTCATCAGATTCTATCAATATTTCGTGAGTATGACTTCCGTAAGCGTTTTTTTTTTGTTTGATTTTGACAAATACGTCGTTTGTTTTGATGAATTTTTTATTCTCAAGAAATTGTGACTTCTCATTTCACGGCATGTTAGCATTAGTTGGTGTTAGTTTAGATGTAATATGTTTAATTTTTTTCCAGTGAAGGCGAGGTTAACATATCAGCTTTAATGACGTGCTATAAAAGCATGAACGTCTTCATATTTTATAGCACGGCTCAGATTCAGGAGGAGCAGTGTGGTTTTCATCTTGACCACGGAACAGTGGACCACTTCTCCACCCTTAGCTGGGTACTAGAGCCCGGCACGGGATTTTGCCCAACCAGTCTACATGGGCTTTATGGGCAATCTTAGACCAGGAAAAATCTTAGATCACGTCCCTCATGGGCCTCCTTTGTGGGTACACAATCAGTCCTGGGAACAGGACCCTATGATACGGACTGATCCGTCCTTGGACATCTGTTTGCCAAAGTTTATTCCTATTGCCGGCAATAACTTGGATTGGTTTTCATCGAGGTTGGACTCTGTCAAGGCTGCTTACATCGCGACTTCACTTATGGGTTTTTATGGCCCCCTTCATAGTACTGCAATTGTTATCTTGTATTTTTACGACATACTTTTTCTTTAATAATTCGGAATGAAACACTACACTATGTTTCGTTGCAGGCAGAGGACATGCAGCAGCAGATCATCCGGGAGACTTTCCATTTGGTGTCAAAGCGAGATGATAACGTTTGTAACTTCTTGGAGGGAGGAAGGCAAGTGTTAACTGCAGCTGCACAATCAAATCTCCAGATTGAGCCAGACTTACAATCAGTAGTGTAAAGCAGGGTTCTCCAACATTCTTTTTCCATCCTGGACGGTTTATGGTAGCACAGTTTTTTTATCGCAAATGGTCAGCCATCCCTTGAGGGGGTGGTGTGACTGACCTATATTCCCAATCAGGACATGTATGATCCACCACAAAAAAAAAAAAAAAATTGAGCCTTGTTGTGAATGGCAAAAAATGTGGGTTATCCAGGCCCCCTTAAAATATGCTTATAATTGCTTTCGTATTGGTTTATTCATTTGATCTTGAATAAATGCACTGGAAAATACACTATGCATTTACATTAATGTGGCGAAAGCTGTATGTAACTTCTCGTGCTAGCAACCAAGGTTAAACGTTACTTCGCTTTGACGGTGAAAAGATCGTAGTTTCTCAATTACGACGACTCGTCATCTTAAGGCGTTTTCGGGCTTTACAGAGAGACCATAAATATCTGCAGAGAGCTGCAACCAGCTGAATGTTTCAGCAAATAGCTGAGGATAGACTAAAATACGAATTTGTTTTTTGGAAACAATAATTAGGAAGGGCTTCACAGTATTGTGTAGTAAGCTGGAGTTTTTGATGTTCTTCCAGTCTTATCGGCGGCTCCGACTACAAGCTGATCTACCGCCACTACGCCACACTCTACTTTGTCTTCTGCGTGGACTCGTCCGAGAGCGAGCTTGGCATCTTGGACCTCATCCAGGTCAGCTGATTAAAAGATAAATCAAGAAATAAAAGAATAATACTAATGTATCTGTTCTGCAGCCGTGTGTTTCTTACAGTGATCTCCTTGCTTTTAAATAACATGCCTGCTTATTTTTAAACTACGTTCAATAACTCCCATTTGTGTTGGACTGATTTTTATGATGCTAATATGGTCATGTGCAGGTGTTTGTCGAAACGCTGGATAAATGCTTTGAGAACGTTTGTGAACTGGACCTCATATTCCACATGGACAAGGTGAGAGTGAGAAACGAGTGACATTTCACACACACACAAAAAAAAAAGCCTGCAAACAAAATTGATTTGATGTTGTTTTCAGTCCTGGAAGATTGATCGATACTTAACGTGAACTACAGTGAACCTTTGCTATTTTTGGGTGAATGAAACCAAGACCCACGGTAAATGGCAAATATTTGGTACATTTAGTCCACTTTCTCGTTCTCTGCTGCAGGTCCACTACATCCTGCAGGAAGTGGTCATGGGTGGCATGGTGCTGGAGACAAACATGAATGAGATCGTGGCTCAGGTGGAGCTGCAGAACCGCATGGAAAAGTCAGAGGTCAGACTTCCAACTCACACACATTCAAGTAATACTGATGGTCGAAATGTGGATAAAGTTCCGAGGCAGGATTTTTCATTGGTGCCCCCGCAGCACCCTCCTCCCATTTGGTGATTACACATACTCTTACAAAAAAAAAAAAAAAAAAAAAAAAAAAGATCATTTGACAACAAAACTGATAAACATTGTGTGATGCAAAGTTTGAAGCAATGAACAGGCTTTAGACGATTTTACATCCAGCTAGGATGAAAAACCTGACCTACAAAGTGAAAAGGGAAATACCATGAGATGATTAACAGCAGGAAAAAAAAATTCTCCTGTCAGATGTAAATGTTATCAACAAATAATAAAAGCGCACATCAGGCCAATATAAACTAGACGCCATATTGAATACTATTAATCATCTGTAAACCATTTTAAGACCCCTTTGCGGCCCAGCTACAGAACTATAAAACCGTTGATTGATTTACTGATTAGCCATCAACCCGAAGTCCGTCAGAGATAGCAATCAGCCACAAGAGGGCAGCAGAGGGAAGTAGTTGTAAAAGAGGATTCAGTTGAGTCGTCTCGGGGACTTATTTGGAATTATTTTTGTCATGTAACAGTAATTGGGCATTCCTTTGCATTTGAATTTATAGGCCGACTATTTCTTCCATTTTAAGAGCTAATAGAAACAAATATAATTAAATAGATGAGGAAAATAATGAATCACCTGAAAGATGATGGACAAACAGTTAGCTGGTTGGCTTGGGAGACAAACTGATGCCGAGACAGACCGAAGGACAGAGAGAAACAGGCGGGCAGACAAATGGACAGGTATATAGATGCAATGACGTCCCCTTTGAAAAATAAGCGTACATATTAAAGTGTGGCTTGCTTTCTGCAGGGGGGTCTGTCTGCAGCACCTGCGCGCGCCGTCTCCGCCGTGAAGAACATGAACCTGCCCGAGATTCCGCGCAACATCAACATTGGAGACATCAACATCAAAGTGCCCAGCCTTTCCCCGTTCTGAATACAGCTCGGCAGGGGGCGGGCGGGATCCAGTGGCCCCGCCCTCGCTAGGCAGTCAACTTGAACTCTCCTGACCACGGCGGCGTTCACGACCGCTCACTCCAGCCACTCTTGTGTGTGCTGGGTTAAAGCTGTGAGTTGTTTGAGTGTTGTTGTTTTATTTCTGGCCTTGTGTCCTAGTTCAATTTGCACAATATGGTCAGTGTTTGTTCCTGAAAGAGTGGTAGGTAACCTACGGCAAGTGGAACATATCTGCTGCCGTGCGAATTCGAAAAACGTTTTCGAATTTTGTGTTTTATGACCAGTCAACAAAGTTCACCGCCATGCTATGCTCACACACAGTGGCGAAAGTTTTTGAGAGCAATCGGAAATAATCAGTAGTATGATTTGGCCTTCGAAGACACCATAAATTGGCCAAAGTAACACAAAAATAGCCGCTTCAAACCAAACATGGCAGCCTTCTTTTCAGAGTATGGGTTCTTGAGACTGAGGTTTTCAAAATTTGTGTTATACACAATACTTGCCCCATCTTGTGGCACAGAGTGGAATTACACTCTAAAAGTAAAGAAGAATTGTATGTGGAGCAAAAAATAAAAATCGGTGAAATAGCGGCACCACAAACCCAGAAGCGCCGATGAATTGAGGGTTACTTAATATTTAGTAGCAATCACAGAAAATCAAGGTCAACCTCAGTCGAATTTATGTGGTTAAAATTTGTCATCAGACAAACTCGAGGGCAGGTTTTCTTTTGATTGACCCTTGGAAATAATGCAAAAAAATTGCTGGCCGTAATTATGCTGTAATGGCTGCTTCAAATCACAATGGCAGACTTCCTGTGACTTTTCTGGCACTAAACGGCATGGACAAAAGAAAACAAAAACGTCCCAATTTAATATGGCCTGTCCTTCTAGTATGCCTGTGACTGATTGGCGCTTATTTGTAGTTCATCAAAGCACAAGCCCTCGAATCTGTTTCAAAATTGTATCATTAAACCAAAATGTCTTGACTTGCTGTTGAGTTCCTGCTGTGCGTTCCTGAGGCTTTTAGTGCATCCTGTTATGATAGAACACAATGTAATGTCGAGGGATGAAACTGGTGTCGGGGCGCTGAATTTATTTCATATTTCCGAGGGTGTGCTACCGAGTGAGTTCAGAGGGTTCTGCTGTTCTTTTCAATAAGTTCATGTCACCCCTGATAGGAAAAACTTTGGCAGAAAGCATCAGGTGAATGTGAATATTTATGCATGTTTAATATTTTATGACTTGGCTGACAAGCATATTTTCCCTTCTTCAACTCGACGCTCATTACTGGTCTTGATTTTGAAAATTCCCAAGCTCCAAATCCACCCCCTACCGTAACACGATCCCTTTGGCTCCCGTACAGCCTGGAACGAGTCTTCTTCCATCGCGGCGTCCAAACGTCTGCCTGTCCTCGGCGGACCATCGTCACGATCCATTACTCCCGCTCTTTTGCACTAATATTAATCTCGACGACATATGCTTGGGGTTCACGAGTCACATGATTCCCGCCCCCTCCCGACTCCCCACCCCCTCCCTCTGAACATATCATGGAAGGCAGTCAAGTGACACGAGTCTCCAATGCGGTTAAGCAAGAAGGATGCACTCCACTGTTTTTTTTTGTGTTTTTTTTAGGGGACCGTTTCAGTGTCTCTAAACTTCTTGCAGGGCCATAAAAATGCTGAAGACACACTAGGATTTTTTTTTTTTTTTTTTATCATCTTCCGACCTCTAGGGTCCAAAAGCTACTGTACTTCCACACATAAAATTATGGCTCATTAGCACAAAAATGTAGCCCCCAAACCCTGTTCCACTTTGCATCATGAAATTCAAGTGGTATGTTCATCACAAAAAAAAAAAAAATAGACTCAAGGAAAGTCATGCCTGAACAGCCAGAGGAAGCCTTCCATTTTGGTTTGAAGTCATCCCTCCAAATACTGACTCGGTAGCGCCTACCAACCGTTGACTTTGCTTTTCAATTCAGCCCCCGAAGCCAGTTTCACTGAGCCCGATGAAATTATGGAGCCATGTCTTATGTGAATGAACTCACAAAAAGCATTTATGTCCGAAAAGACACAAAGTCTGCCTTTTTGGTTTAAATTCACCCCAAAAGTGACTATAGCACCTATTATGACAAACATCCATATTTTTGGAAAAATTCGTCCCGAAATCAGTTTCCCTTAGCAATAAAACATTTGGTACGCATGTGTCTCTACTTTGTCGAATATCCATAGTCTCAAGACTTCATGACTGAAAAGGTAAAGGAAGTTAGTCATGTTGGTTTAAAGCCAACAAAAAAGTGACTCTGTACCACCTACCGGGATTTCAGGGGAAATCCAGCCCAAAGTCAGTTTGACTTAGGCTCATGAAATGTCGTAAAAAATGAGTAACCCCACAATAATGTCTCACGTATGATTCCTGCAAAGACAGGAAGCTGCTGATATCTGCAAAGACACAGGAAGCTGCCATGTTCCTTTCTGGGCATGAGGTCTTGGTATTTTTATGGGTCGACTAATGACAGACATGCCTACCAAATGTCATGTCGTTAAGGTCAAATTGTCAAAATATTTTGTTAGGCTGTCCATTTTCAAACCAAAATGGCAGACTTCCTGTGACTTTGGAGGACAATACAGTCCAACCAAATTTCACGTTGCTCAAACTAGCTTTGGAGCTTGCTTTTTTTTTAAATTTATTAAATGCTGCCACTGGCCCTAAATGGCCCCCTGGTCTTAGGTTACCCACCCCAACTGTTTGTATGTATTATAGAGAATGTGTTTATGTCTTATTTACTGTATTGAGTAGTTCAGATGCTGATATATGATCTGCTGACATTTCTGAACATGAATAAAAGCTGCTGCCAGCCATAAATCAGCTCCAGTCGTTCTTCCGAAGAAGCGCTCTGAGCATACACTTTCCGTACCTTCGAGGAATTCTCTTGAAGCTATCCCACCACAACCGAGGTTTGTTGTTACAACCACATTCTTTCAATCGGCCCTTCTTCCTCTTTATTTTATTATTTTTTTCACACCCCCCCCCCAACTCAAATATGGGGAGTCACCCCTCGAGGAAAACCTGCGGTAGCTCTCGTTGACTCCACCCTTGCAGACTGTTTCCCATCAGCCGGCTCTCATTCCAGATCCTGCAGGCAAGCAGTGGACATACTCGTGCAGCCGCTGGTATGTACAACCTTCTCCCGCAAAAGGTGGAAAATTGCTTTTATCACTGATTTTTTTTTTTTTTTGGGGGGGTGCTATATTGCCTTCTGCTTTTTTTTCAACAGGACTATATATATATTAAAAAAAAACCCTTAAGAAAAAAAATACATCTCTTAACGGTTGAATGCTTCACTTCCAAAGTGCTTTGTAGTTTTTACGACATACCGGAATGTTTTGATTTTTTTGCCCGGCAGCAGCATCGACCGTCTTTGTCAGCTTAATCTACTGAGACAAATTAGGTTCAGTACACTGGACCTGCCTCAAAAGTTGTACTAGTTGAAGTTCAATCCAAATATTTGCCTCACAACGGGCATTTCAGAGGCTATGAGCGATGGTGTCATAGAACTTACTGCAACACAGGGAATGGTCTGGCTGGTCAGTATAATGCAAGCAATGCAAATAAGAATATTGCATTAGTGGATTTTCTGTGCTAAAAAGTGACGGTATCACTCTGCAAACACCATTTTTTGTGGTATTAAAGTGTGACTAGTTTTGCATTTTATGATACTGTGGTTTTGGCAGTGCGGTGGGAGTAGTGGTTAACACATCTGCGTTTCAGTTCCAAGGTTTCCAGGTTTGAATCTCTCCTCCGTACTTGTGTATGTTTCTTCCGGGAACTTGGGTTAAGTTCATTGAAAACCTCCCTTCATCCTTGTTTCCTTCTGTCCTTCCTATTCTACCTTTCAGACCATCTTTGTTTCCTCATATAATTTTAAAGTGTATACGGAACTTACTTTTGTTTTACATTCAGCACATCTGTTTTTGCTTCTGATGTTTGGGGTTCTTATAAGGACTTCCTGTTTCAAGTTGGCATGTTCCCCCGTGCTTTTGCGGGTTTTCTTGTCATCATTTATTTATTTTTTTTAATTTAGACCCTAAAGTGGGTTTCACAAAGCATTGTGAAACTTGGTTGTCTCTCATGAGTACACCGAAAAAAAAATGTCTCATTTCCAGGGGTCCCCCAAAAGACAAACTCCTAAATTATTTTTGAGAATTCAACCCAGCTACACTCAGCAACGAGAAACTTTATTGGCACATCTATCATGAGTCGACTCACAGGAAAAAAATGTTTTTCAAGAACCCATTCCCAGAATACATCGGAAATCTGCCATTTTGTTTTGAAGATTTACACATTTCACTATACAAAATACATTAGAAGTCCTGTATTTGCCACACAAGCGGATGCAATAACAACAAAACTCAAGTCGCAATTATTTATATAGCCCTTAATCACAAATAGTCTCAAAGGGCTTCACATATCCACAGTTGACAGCTATTCACGTCATCCCTTGACCTGAAACCCCAGGAGGGCAAGGAAAAACAACCAAAAATATAACATATGGGGAAAAATGAGAAACCTTGAGAAGGGGCCGCAGATGGGGGAAACCCCCTTCCAGGATGACCAGGCTGAAAAGAATGCCGAGTGAGCAACTTTTGACACAATATTGTACTATACAATGTTAGAATGATATATAAGTCCATTTAACAAGATGAAAACACTGCAGGGAGATGCCTTCGGAGGAGGTGGGTCCCCCCTCTGAACCCGGCGGAGTTGGTCAATGAAGAAATCTTCATAGCGCAAAAAAAACAAAAACAAAACCTTATTCTATCCGGTATTCTGATAACCTCCCACATTAGTGGAGGCCTCAGTTCAGGATGGAAGCATGCCTTCCAGATGTTGAGAGTAGCTTTGGGATGTTGTCAATATTTCACTATAGAGTGCTCCTAAATTTCTTTCATGTCCTCTGCAGGACGGTGCTCGTAAAGAGAGGCGAGCCAAAATAAATGTCAAAATTAATTACACTCGTGTGTATTTTTTTTCTTTGGAAGTTGTAGCATCATTTGTGGAGCAAGTATGACAGCAAGAGCTGAACAGTCCTTTTTACTTGGCATACCTGTGTTTTCCTCACTTGTTTTTTGTTTTTTTTAACTAACAACTTTCCAGCATTTCGCCACAGCTTGAAGCTTTTCTCCTGCCAGGCCTGCGGTGATAAATGTTGCCAAGTCATCTTTGGGAACCTGACTTGTGAATCTGCGTCAACAAAATCCAGTTGTTTTTTTCTTTTTTTTTTTGATGACCATAGTCAGTAAATAAGTACACACTAGCCAATTACACAAATATGATTCCATAGATAAAGTGTCGGCATATTTCGGACATTTTTGTGAGCGTGCATGAATTCGGCCCTTGGGAACTTTGTTTTATATCATCACTGACTGCTTACTGGTGCGGGGCGTGAAGATGACATCGAGCTGGATGTTGCCTGGGAAACATCTGCACGTTGGCACACTGCAGGCAAATGAGGAAAAACACAGTCAAGTATGGCAAATTCAAATATTATGCAACAGTAGGCTGAATTGCACAATATGCTACTCCAACATGGCCCACATAGCTTCGTTTCTTTTGATAAGTAGGCTTCATTTATACAGTGCCTTTATACCTAATTGTCATGTTGCGTGATGGAAGGGAAATTCTACCTCAGCAAAAGGGATGCAAAATATTTTGTCTTTGGGTGAGGTTGATTTCTATTTTTATTGTTGTCCACAATTTGCACTCTTAGGTTTCTTCGTCAACCTATTTGTGTCGACATAAATGTCTGACCTTTTCGTCACATCGTGGCAGAAAGCTAGAGTTGTTTGGGGAAATGACAACAAAATTAAAATCTTTTGTGTGCAAGCTGGCGGCCAGGTGATCCAGTGGTTAGCCCATTGACCTCACAGTGCGGAGGTACCGGGTTCTATTCCAGCTGCGGCCTCCCTGTGTGGAGTTTGCATGTTCTCGCTGGGCCTGCGTGGGTTTTCTCCGGGTACTCCGGTTTCCTCCCACATTCCAAAAACATGCATGGCAGGCTGATTGAACATGCTAAATTGTCCCACGGTGTGAGTGTGAGCGTGGATGGTTGTTCGTCTGTGTGTGCCCTGCGATTGGCTGGCAACTGGTTCAGGGTGTCCCCCGCCTACTGCCCATAGACGGCTGGGATAGGCTCCAGCACCCCCCGCGACCCTTGTGAGGATAAGCGGATCGGGAAAATGGATGGATGGATGTTTGCAAGCTGAACCCTTTTAGGTATTGTGAGGTTATTTTCCGTCGACAGCAAGTTGGCAAAATGGCCACTCGGATCAACTTAATTCATATTCCACTCGTGCATATACAGATGCATTTTCGTTCATTCACCCAAAAGCAACATTTCCAAGCGTGTTTCTCTTTATACCGGACATTTGCATCAGAAGAAATTCTCTAATTCCTTCACCCTCACAGGTATCATGAACCAGCCCTGAACTGTGGAGCGACGTGACCAAAGTCAAAAAAAGTCTCAGACTTTCACTGACACTCCTTCCCGGTCATGGGGAAGGTCTACTACATCAGTAAGAACGTGGGACTTGGACTACTCGTGTTAGCTCTGAGCGCTCTGGTGACCATTGTAGCACTGTCTATCGCCTATGACAAGGAGAGGTCCAAGAATCGAAGCAGACCCGAAGAACAAGCGGCGGTCAACAGTGACACCCCCGATCCGACTCCAGTCGCGTCAAAGGATCCGTGGGACCAGTACAGACTTCCTTCCGCCCTGGTCCCCACCACCTACAATGTGACGCTATGGCCTCGCTTGAAGCCCGACGCAAACGGCCATTACATCTTCAGCGGACTCTCAGATGTGGTCTTCACCTGCCACCAGGCCACAGACCTGGTCCTCATCCATGCCAACAAGCTCAATTTCACCACCTTCAACGGGCACCACGCCTTGCTGAGCGACCTGTCGGGGGCCCGGATGCCGACCATCCGCAAGTCTTGGCTGGTGACAGAGACAGAGTACCTGGCCCTGGAGCTCAGCGGCAGCCTCACAGAGGGAGTGTCCTACATCTTGCACACCGAGTTCCAGGGAGAATTGTCGGACACACTGGAAGGATTCTACAGGAGCGAGTACTTAGAGGATGGCGTGAAGAAGTAAGTGTTTCTGATGTCGAATTTTTGTGGGATTGAATGGTTTCTCTGGATTGTATTCCTTTACTTTTCCAGAGTGGTTGCCACCTCTCAGATGCAACCCACGTTTGCCCGGAAAGCCTTCCCATGCTTCGATGAACCCGCCATGAAAGCTGTCTTTAATGTCACCGTCATCCACGACCGGGACAAAGTGGCTCTGTCCAACGCCCGGGAATTAGGTTTGAAAATGGCTTCCCAAATATAGCAAACTCGAGCTGCATACCTCCCTGAATTTCCAGGAACGTTATGTTCTTTGTACGTATCGGCTCCGGAACTAAATGGTTCCTGTAGCCCGAGGTTAACAGCATATTTACAGACGCCTTTCCATAAAACGTTCCTGAACGGTTTTTGATCCCGGTAGTTCATCTCCAAATACTGATTGCACTTCCATTAAAGGCTACTTTTAGCTCCTGCTTCGAATGGCCAAGTTGCCTAGAATATTGATAGCACTTCAAAATATCCAGAATATTTTTTTTTTCGCTCTTGCTATTTGTCGGTCGTAAAACTAAGGCCCAAGGTCCCAGAAACATCGACACAAAAAAAACCCACGTTATTTGCAGGAGGCAGTTGAATAATTGAAAAGAGCTAATGATTGTGTATAAATGCTAATGATGGACCAATATGTTATTTTTCAGGACTACAATTGTTAGTAGTCAAGAAGGCTGATAAATAATATTTGAAGCTGATATTCCTTTGTTGGAAAAGTCACAATATTGACAAAACATTTTCGGGTAACTCCCAAGACTTCCCTTTGTTTAAACTCCTTTTTATCAACCAGTTTAACCAGTAATGTGTCTTATAAAATAGACATCTTTGTTTAAAACTTCTAGAAATGCTCAGACCGACAGACCTTTACATGACGTTGCTGACCACGGCGTTGCTCTGGAACTAAATTGACACAATGGTTCACACGGTCCTTCAAAAAGTTCCTAATTCCGGTTGTCGAAACGCGCTGTTTGACCTAATAACTGGAAAGTAAGCGGCAGTAAAATTGTCCCTGCAGATGTCAGAGATGTGGTCATGGATGGGGTGGCGGTCCGAGTTACAAAGTTTGAGCCTACGGCGAAGATGTCCACCTATCTGCTGGCCTTTATCGTCAGCGACTTCAGCTATATTGAGTCTACTCAACAAAATGGCGTACAGGTAAGCAGCCTTTTAACAGAAGAGAAAAACATCCATATCTTGTGAACTATACAATTCTGTCCGGAAAATATCTACTTTTTCCACATTTTGTTATATCACAGTGCAGAGGTCGTGGGTTCAATCCCGGCTCCGGCCTTCCTGTGTGGAGTTTGCATGTTCTCCCCGGGCCTGCGTGGGTTTTCTCCGGGTACTCTGGCTTCCTCCCACATTCCAGAAAACATGTTTGGCAGGCTGATTGAACACTCAAAATTGTCCCGAGGTGTGAGTGTGAGCGCTAATGGTTGTCCGTCTCTGTGTGCCCTGCGATTGGCTGGCAACCGGTTCAGGGTGTCCCCCGCCTCCTGCCCGAAGACAGCTGCGATAGGCTCCAGCCACCCCCGTCTCCCCAGTTTCATTCATCCACTGGTGGATTTGTACTAGTTTGAAAAGCTCTAAATTGAAACGGTCATACCTTTGTTGTCATCATCGGGTGTTGTGTGTGGAATTGTTCGGGGGGGCAGGGTAATTTGAATCAATTTTAAAATCAGGCTGGAAAATAACAACAAGTGTAAAAAGTGAATCACCGGATTTCAAATGTACAATACTGTGTCTGTGTTTTATGTCAGGTGCGGGTTTGGGCTCGAAGAAAGGCCATTGAGGCCGGACATGGCGACTACGCTCTTAATATCACTGGAAAAATTCTTCAGTTCTATGAGCGCTACTACGACACACCCTACCCGCTCCCCAAGACGGGTAGGTCACCAAAAACAACCAAACAAATATCAGATGTACTACAGAGGTTTAACTCGAAACTGTAGCTTCCTTCACACGGAGATCCCGTAAAAGCTGGAGTTGAAATGTAATTCAACACAGCTCTGAATTAGTTCTAGATAATCATTCAGTTCATAACAGTTCATTAATTTTCAATCTAACAAGTAAATGTTTCGAATGAACAATCCTACCCAGATGTGAAGTGGTTCTCAGAAGGCGTTCAATTCACTTGAGCAAGGTTTTCAGCCATGCTTTTGATTTACTTTCAACCAGCATGCTTTGAAATCTCTAGCGGGATATTCCCTACTTGCCAGCAATCAAGTAAGGAGGACAAACAAGTGCCAGGTGTTAACTTCACGCCTTGGAATACCAGGAATATTTTTACAGACAGAAGACATCCCGCCTCTTGAAATTCACCCAAAGTGGAAAATTGCCATGTTGATTTCATTTCATTTCAGTGTCTTTTCACACAAAAAAGCCACATTTGGGGGGGAAAAATAGCTTTGGACAAGCGTTGTCAAATGGGCTTGTGATTTTTGGAACAATTCGGTATGGTTTGGAACAGTCAACCGAACGCAGGCGAATACATGTCGGATCTTCGTCGAGGGCTCTGATGCAGCCATTTTGTGTCAACTGACATTGTGTTAGCCATAAAAAATTACTTTGCCACCATCTTGTGTTAACTTGGTGGCAAGGAAGTGAGTTGAGGAGCTTCATTTCAAGAAAAGTAGTGCTTACATGCCATTTCGTGTCAATTATAAACCTTTTTGGGTTGATGTCAATTACTGACTGACTTTTTTTTCCAATTTGAGGCAGGGCTTCTTGGTCCCCGTCACTCATAAAAAAAATGAAAGTTCGCTTTGTTAGTTTAGTGTTTGTACAGTAAATATCTAAGTTTGTCAATAAAAATCACCACAAAATTGGAAAGCAGAAACAGGGATTTGGACAACGCCAGATCCTACAATTTTTGGAGTATCTAAGGACCTTTTGCATACCTGTCTGAATGTCTTGGTCCTTTCCAGATCAGGTGGCTTTGCCTGACTTCCAAGCCGGTGCCATGGAGAACTGGGGCCTGGTCACCTACAGGGAGACGGCTCTACTCCACGACCCGAACAAATCCTCAGCCGGAAACAAACAACGAGTGGCCAGTGTCATCGCACACGAGTTGGCTCATATGGTCAGCCATCTTGGGGGCCGGACAGCCGTCCTCTCTCGCAACGGTCCCAAACCTTTTTTGCCCCACGGACCGGTTTAATGTCAGACAATATTTTCAGGGACCAGCCTCTATGGCCGGATAAATACAACAAAATAATATGATATGAACTGCAAGAAAACTGTTGTATTTTGTAAACATAATAATAAACACGACGAACGTCCAATCGGGCCGCAACGCTCTCTGGTCGCTATGGTAACATTTGAACTTGCCTTCAAAATAAGATAGACCGCAAATACAAAGTCCATGAAAAATACGACTCACCATCGCCGCATATTATCCAGAAAGGGCTTGGCGCGTGGGAATCTCCCGTTGAGATGAATCCGTATTTTAACTCGGACTCCCGATATGTGAACTAAATGTAGCCTTCTCTTTCTTGAAAGTCGTAGGCTCCTCTTCTGTCTCCTGGCTGGGCCTTTTCCCCTTCCCAAAGACGTTTGTTTTTTACTCATTTTTTACTTTTTTACGGATGTAACAGAGACTCTGGTAATTTTTCAAAATTAAAGATCTTCAAATTCCGAAATAAATAAAACGGAAGTAATGTAAGTTATTTATTCTTTCTGTGAGGCCCTGTACCGCAAATTATTTTGCCGTGTTTGATTATCGTCTCATTTGAAAGGGGGGGGGGGGCGGACATCCCGACATATGGGAAATGGTGTGCTGATAAAACAAAATCACCAGTGGCTCCCTAGCTTACCTTTAGTCTAATTAAAAGCTCCTTTTTCATTGTGATGTATCCTCACATAAACCTGACATCTATGAAGGCACGTTATTGATAGAATAAAATCCCAAGAACCAAAACCGGATTTTTTCTTGATATATTTTTCATGATCGATGAACAAAACGTTCAGGGACGTAGCCCTGTTGTGAATAGTGAAAAACAGTGAGCCATTGAAGGCTGCCAGAAGAAGCACTATCTTGGTCAAAATCAAGCTCCTCAACTCACTTCTGCATGATTCTGTGTCACTAAGATGTCACAAGAGGGCAACAAAACAAGACCGTTCTTGCTTTGGCCTGAACAAGAGAAAAGTGAATCGGTGTTTTTCAGTGAATAACAGAGGACCGATACCTTACAGTCTTAGTTGAGAAATGAGAGCTTTGCTTGTGTTTGCTTTAGTGGTTCGGCAACCTGGTGACCATGCGCTGGTGGAATGATCTGTGGCTCAATGAGGGCTTCGCGTCCTACGTGGAGTACCTGGGAGCGGACTGTGCCGAGCCGCAATGGAACATTGTAAGGGAAACAACACTTTTTACAGTGGACAAATCAATAAGATGGCTGAATGATTTGTGAAAATAACACAGGTACACATGGACTGACCAATTGTGTCGATTTGTGAGCAAATCTGAAATTCATAAAATTGCGACCTATGGGGCTTCAGGCCGAGGCTAGCGTTGTGCCTAAAAACATGGAAACTTTGAACTCAATATAATTCCATCACAGAAAGACCAGATCGTTCTGGACGACGTCCAGCAGGTGTTCAGTCTGGACGCCCTGGCTTCCTCTCACCCTCTTTCCCGCCGCGAAGATGAGGTGAACACACCTGCTCAGATCAGTGGGATATTCAACACCATCTCCTACAGCAAGGTAGGCACTCAACAATGACAGTGAGAAATCTGCGGTTAATGCTTAATGCTTTTTTTGTACGAGTTTTTCGAATGACCTGAAGTCAACTTTATCCGTAAAGCAATTCATAAACAACAACTGCTGCATTGAAGCGCTGTGCACATAAAAATCCCCCATAAAGATCTAAAACTATTTAAACATAAAACACTCCAACAGGTGGGGAGTGTCATGCTAAGTGGAAAGCCCCTCCCCCAAAAAGTTTTAAGACAAGCGTAAAAAACTGACAATGAGGTGGCTTCTCTAATATGCAACCCACCCGCTCCCAAAATAAATAGGGATTCACTGTATGTCCAGGACATTGTTTCCCAGTATCTGGTGTTACTTTCAGGGGGCGGCGGTCCTCAGGATGCTGTCCAAGTTTCTGGGTGAAAGGGTGTTTGCCAAGGGACTCAGTGTGAGTATCACTAATAAAATGGCAACTGCGTCCCAATGGAATCGATATGATGTTGCATTCTCTCACTTAGACTTACCTCAACGCGTTCAGCTTCGACTGCACCGTGTACACAGACTTGTGGGACCACCTCCAAAAGGTTGGTAGGACCATTTTGGGTGTTTCATTTTACTTTAGCTTTTATCTTACTGCTCCTTTGTTTTTCCCAGGCAGCGGAGGACACTCCGGGCTTAGGTATCCCACGCACGATCCACGACATCATGAATCGCTGGACTCTACAGATGGGCTTTCCGGTGGTAACCATCAACACCAAGACCGGACTCGTCACCCAGCAGCACTTCCTGGTGGATCCAGAGTCGGTGGTGGACAGGCCCTCGCAGTTCAAGTTAGGTTACACCGTGACCATAAGATTTACATTATGACCATCAAGTAATTCTTACCATGAAAAGCTCAGAGAAAAGATACAAAATCAGCATTTGAATGCAGTAGAAGACAGAGCATGAAGTTCTGCTATGTTTGGAAAACGATAGACCCAACTTTATGAAGAGAGCACTTTGAAAAACAAACAAAGACGAATACAAAAGGAAATCCCATTCCTGGTTCAGCGGCATTAAGTGGAAAGCATACAGACGACATTGGATCTTTCAGGACATTGTATGATGTGTTGCCATTGTTGAAAAATTGTCACCCCCTCCCCAGTTATACGTGGTTTGTGCCTATTAAATGGATGAAGACTGGTGTTGAGCAGCGACAGTACTGGCTTCTCCATAAAACAGGTACTGAAGGGTTCTAATGCCCACCACCTTGATTTTTGCAGCTTTTTTCTTTTTTTTTTTAAACCGCCCCACTTTGATACCACTTTCACCAGACAGCCATCCTCAAATGAGAGTCTCAGGAGTCAACTGGGTACTGGCTAACACCAATGTGTCAGGATACTACAGGGTCAACTACGACATGGACAACTGGAATCGCCTAATCTCCGCGCTGGAAGCAAACCACCTGGTGAGTGCACATTTACTGCGGTGCTATAGTCCACAGTTTCCATTTTGTTGCATCAGCCCTCAGTCCCCTATTGAATAAAATTGCCTGGTTATTGGAACGCTTTGGGGCACGTGACTCGAAATGACTGAAATAAAGACATGCTAACTTTAGCCATGGATGCTGCAGTTTGGATTGTGCGGCTGAAATGTTAAACGCTGCTCATTTTTTTGCAGTTTATCCTAACCATGTCTCATTTCCTGCAGACCATTCCCATAATAAACCGAGCGCAGATCATTGACGACGCCTTCAGCCTGACACGGTAACAACGGCGACAACTACTCAATAGTTATAATTATTCTTAGACATACTGTATAATTTTTAATATAAAAATAATAATATTTGAACATTGTTTGTAAGGATTGTGAATGAGTTGCACCTCATTTTAGAGCCAAAATGGTGGACGTCACACTGGCCTTTAGGACCACCAAGTACTTGTCCAAGGAGACGCAATACATCCCGTGGAAGGCAGCATTGGGAAACCTCTACTTCTACTACCTCATGTTCGAACGCACCGAAGTCTACGGACCCTTACAGGTTCAAAAAGGATTTTCGGAATTGTGAAGCAATTTTATTTAGTTATTTATTTATTTATCTATGTATTTATTTATTTATTGCACGTTAATCCCAGGGGACCTGAATCATGGGTTTTAGAGTAAAAATATGAGGATATAACAAGTGAAAAAAAACGGGCACCTTTTAATGAACAGTTTTTGTCTTGTAAATTCACATTGTGTCAAGCTGTAGAATTGTAATGACAACAAATACACATGCCAATGTTAGCTGACCCTGTTCGTGTTTGGAGGCTATTGTATTATACTCCATAATCTCCACATTGCTGCAAGAGCCCTCAAATCAAATTTCTTAACCTTGCTTTACAACATGAAAGTCTGAATGAAGATTAATTGTTGTCTTTAACGCAGGCGTACACCAGGAAGCTTATCCAACCTCTTTTTGAGTACTTCACGAAGATGACGCACAATTGGACAACGGTCCCTGAGGCAATCACCGACCAGTAAGGGGAAACCAAAGATGATTTGTTTCTTGGGGTGTAAAGCTCTTTTTGACATTCTTACCTGGTGTTTTGTGTCACCTCTGTTAGAATCAGTCTTGCACCGTTGCTGTGGCGGTCACTGAATTGAAATGCATTTTACTGAAATTTATTTCAATTAAGCCAAACACTCTTTCTCGCATTTGCTTTTCCAATTTAATTTAGTATGATGCAATTCATCAATTCCAATTCAATTGGAATTAAATTATTATTTTAAATATTCTCAATTTTTTATTCATGAGTATTTTATTTCATTAAAATTGATGTAGTCGAAACACTTTTTGGTATTGATGTATGTTAACATGAGCCTGTCCATCTGCCAGTCAACCTCAATTCAAACTGTACCGTCAGGTACAATCAGATGAACGCCATTGGAATGTCTTGCGCAGTGGGTATGCCGGCCTGCAGGGACCTCATCAAAAGTTGGTTCAAACGCTGGATGGATCATCCGGAAGACAATCTGTAAGGATTAATAATACACTCGACAATGATGTCCAGACACACGTCACCCTTTTCAAATTCCACACTGTATGCGGAGCAGGATTCATCCCAACTTGAGAAATGCCGTGTACTGTATTGCCGTGGAACTGGGCGGCGCAGACGAATGGGACTTTGTCTGGAGGATGTTCAAGAATGCCACGCTGGCCTCCGAGGCCTCCAGGCTCAGGTCGGCCTTGGCCTGCACGAAAGTTCCCTGGCTGCTCAACAGGTGCTTTTCATGAAGATTGCTTAAAAAAACAAAACAAAACATCTCCATTCCAAAAACATGCTTGGCAGCAGACTGTAAATTGTCCTTCGGTGTGAATGGTCATTTGCCTATATGTGCCCTGTGATTGTCTGGCAACGAGTTCAGGTAACCCGCCTCTCGCCCCAAAGTCAGCTGGGTTAGGCTCCAGCACACTAATGGCCCCAATGAGGAGAAATGATGTAGACAATAGACGGATACATGAAATTAAGCAAAATGGATTGAATTGAAATAATTGTGTTTAATATAGGTTAATTTAAACACGTTTTGCTCTTATTACATATTTTAACATAACTATGGTTCATTTAAATAAAACATTTGTTTGCATTTTTAATTTATTATAATTTACAATTTACGTAATATAATCCAATTTAATTCCAACACATCATCCTTGTCCAACTGCCTGTCACATTTTTGTCAATGCAAATCAATTTAATTTACATGTATTTCATTTATTTGGAATATCTGTTTAATTTACATTAATTTCATTTTTGGGGAATAAATGGCATGCATTTGGTGTATGACATTTCGTTTTCTTTGTTTTGATTATATTTTAGAACTATTTACTACATTTTAGAACTTTGAATTTTGAACATGTTCAAAACTCACTTGCAACAGGAAGTGTACAAGCGAACGTTAAGCGACCATTTGGCGATCGTTTGCGACCTGGAATGAACCCTGATGAGAACGTAACATTTCGCCACCTTCGCAAACAAATGTTCACTGCTCAGTTGTATAAGGGCTGAACTTAATTTCATTTCACTCAAGCACACTTTTAGTATTTTCACAGTTCTTCCATATTACTCGTCCACTAAATGAGTGTCATGGTTGTGCCATAATACTGCCTATCTTCTCCACTTGATGATGACCGTCTTCACTGTCTTCCATGATATGTATACTGGATGAAATGTCTTCTTTTATACCCTTAAATAGACAGATGGGTAGATAAAGAGATGGATGGATGCCAATAATACTTTCAATACTATTGTGTGTTGTCAGGTATTTGGATTACACTCTGGACCCGACTAAGATCCGTAAGCAGGACGCCTTGTCCACCATCACGAGTGTGGCCCACAATGTAGTGGGCATGCCGCTGGCCTGGAACTTTGTCAGAGCACAATGGAAACAGCTTTACCAAGAGTCAGTGGATTCCTTTATTATTCAAGGCTTCACTTTATTTTTTTCCCATTTTTTTATTTTTACGTTTTACAGTGTGCATGACAATTAGAATTTTTTTTAAAATTGTTTTACATGAGTAGTTGGCTTCTTTTCACTTTGCAAAAAATAAATAAATCTTTTTTGTTATTTCCCCCCTCCAAATTGTTTTTTTCCTCCCTCGAGAAAAAAACATTTGGGGTGTATAAATAGGTCAGATGATTTTTTTGGGTGAGGGCAGGGTTTATGAACTTTACAGCATTGAAGTTCTTTTTACATGTTGCCTTTGTGTTTTTAGATATGGAAAAGGATCGTTTGCCTTCCCCGGGCTCATCAGTGGAATCACCACGCGCTTCTCCACAGAGTTTGAGCTGCAAGAGGTACAATGAAAAACTGAGGTGGCAAAAGTACTTGCACAAGTACAGATACTTGTGCAACACCCCCCCGCCCCCCAAAAAAAAAACTGGTAAAATTAGAAGTACTCACTGGCACCCCCGCAAAAAGGTTTAACATTTCCTAGACATGCCACAAGTGGGCGGCGAAGCAATACTTTAGTCCAAATGAAGCTCCTCAACTCACTTCAGCAGTTCATTAGCTCATTTACCCTATTTTTTGTGTTCTTGTTCTTCTTCCTCTTCACAGTTGCAGAGATTCAAAGAGGATAACCAGGAGGTGGGCTTTGGCTCAGCTACCCAGGCACTGGAGCAGGCCATGGAGAGAACGTCTGCCCAGATCAAATGGGTGACGGAGAACAAAGACCGAGTTCTGGACTGGCTCTCTGGAGAGTCTCTGTGAAAGGGGGGATGTTGGGAATAACTCTTCTGTCTTTTTTATGCTATAATCATCAGGATGCCTAATCTCTGCACCATGTTGTTGGAGTACAGTTGCGCCCTTTTTGTTTGTGTGTATTAAAATGGTCACTTTCTAGGAAGTTACAATAACTAATGGTGCAAAAATGATATTCATAATGATGCCTTTGGTGCAAAAATGTACCAAAAAGGCTCTTAATGCACATTCCAAAAATGTGTTTCCTCCTCCTTGGCCATGTATTTGGAAAGTATTAAAGCAGGAATATTACCAAGTAACCTCAATAACGTTGCATTTAAAAAATATATATTTTATTGGAATAACTACGAACAATGATAATATAATGATACCGCAGTATGTATAAGATAGAACAGGTTGTGGTCAAAGGCAGTATAACTCAAAACAGCTCAAGTGTAGATTTTTTTGTTTTTGTTTTTACCCTAGTAACACATTTCTAACGTTTCATAAATAAAGTGCCTGAAAAAGTAAACAAAATATACAAAGACTCCAAGCAAATAAGACCATCATTTTTGAAGTATGAAATTTCCCAGTTTTCGTTAACGCACCATTGTTTTTCATGGACTCCATTAGTGTATAGTTCACAGCAATCAGCTTTTTGGATGGAATCTCAGTTTGTGGTAGCAAACGTGTACATATATATGTGTGTATCTATAAATGACTGCAAACTAAAAACACCTTAAATTCTACCAGTGTTAAACTCACTGTAACCAAAGTTATGTGGAAGCTGATAAGCGGTGAATGATTACACATGTGAAGGGTTTATCTAAGGTCATCTAGCTGCTAGCTACCAAAGTGTGTTTATTAAGAATTTGGATGTTGTGATCTTTTGTTCGGGAACAACATGTAATGAGATGATGTTTGACAAAGATAAACTGTCAATGTCTGGATGTTGTACATCATATTTTACATTTAAAATTGTAAAATTGTTTATTTGGTGAAACCAAACAAAGACCAAAAGCTGTGTTGACTGAAGCCAAAGCTTATAGTGTCTACCCTTTTCACAAAATATCAAACTATCACCATATATACTGTATGTATGTTGATCAGTGGCTGGCAGAGGTGTTGTCCTCAGCTGTCGCTTCGCTTCCCCGCCAACCTCCCTCAGCAGGGGTCTTTCCTTAAGGACTTTAGCGCCGCCATGTTCCCTGTTTAGCACCTCCGTGTGCTCTGTTTGTCTTAGGAAGTCTGCAGCGAGGCGACATCTAATTAAAGGCCTCCACAACCGCACAGAACAGCAAGAAACTTGGCTAAATTCGATGAAATAAAATAAAACATTGAATTACAAACATAAAATAAAAACAATTCTTTTCAAAATATTATTTTCTTCAAAAAAGATTTGTAAAAATGCAAGATTTAAAAGTAAGACAGATAAACAAAGGTTTTGTTTGAAATTCATTGTGCAAATTAAAAAAAAGTTTTATTACTAAAATAAAATAGAACAGTTCATATTTTATATTATTTGACAAATGAAAAAAAAATAGATATTTAAAACAGATGTCAGGTTTCTACGAAATGCAACACTTTTTAGAACAAACATATCTTCAATTTTAGCAGGAACCTCCTCATAAAATTAAACAGTAGTAATAAGGAAAATCTCTGGCATTCAACTAAACACATGAAATAAATTTGTGCAAAGTCCTACCAAATTTGGACTGCTAAAATTAAATTAAAACGTTTTAAGTTTGGCATATTATTTCCATAATACTTTCCAATTATATAAAAAAAATACACGTTTGAAAGCAAGCCCTAAAATCTTTCAATTTTGCAACTAGCCCGCCATTATTTTTTCAGATAAAATTAAACTAAATTCGAACAAGAACTAACTCATTAAAATGAAGAAAAACATGATGAAAGCATTTCGGTTTCAGGCTTATCTTCACTCATCATATTTAACAAAAAAAATGATTAAAAAAAGAAACAGAAAGACTACATCAGACACTTCTGCAATGATAATTTAGGTTTATTCCCAATGTAAAAAAGTCAATAAATATGCATAAATATGTACAAAAACATTTAGTTATACAAAAAAAAAAACAACAACTACAACAAAAAAGTAAAGTTCATTGTTGCAATGAAATTAGTTCCTCTGTTTCCCAGCACTGTCCTGTGAAGTCGTGAAGCTGTTGCTGTGGCAACCAGTACTGCTGAGCGTGGACGGACACCTTGCTTGGAAACTGACAAGACGAAAAAATAAGTTTGTTAAATTAATGAAAAAGGAAACTAATGGTGAACTTGAGCGATTGTCATTTTCATATTCATTTGAACAGTGAAGAAAATTGACTGTTTAAAAGGATGCCCAAAAGTATGGCAGTTGCTTTCAAATTTAGACATTGTATTTGTTCATAAATCTACTGAATTCCTAATGGGGGGGGAAAAAAAGGGTTTGAGATTCAGCCGTATTATTTCCAAGGTATTTAACAATAAAAAAAAAAAGTAGTGCAATGCTTGAAAGTAAGCCGATATTTCTCTGTTATTATTCAGAGTTAGAGTTCATATTAGACAGTGACGTCTTTTTGAAAGTATGCTCAGAAATATGTCAATTTTCGAACAACAAACACCTTTTTGATGGAAGCTTTAGTCAAAACTTACTGCAAAACTAAACTAAAATAAGGTTTGAGCACATTTCTTTACATATTATGTCAATGAAAAAAATTGAAAATTTGAAGTCAAGCCCACATAATTTCTTTATTTTTTTAACGCAACAACTCATGGAGAAAATTCTACAAAATATCTTGAACAGAGTATACTGCGCTTTTCGTCCGAAGCCAGCCCACCCGTCACCCAACTCAGGATAACGACTTGGCAAATTTGATGAATGGATCTACTTTGCAAGTTCAAGTGCACTTCAAAATAAAAGCTAGTAAGGGTTTGGGCCTTTTCCTTTTTCATAAAACTTAACAAGAAAAATGACAAAATTGAATGTAAGGCTAATAAAATGTCAGTTTTCTAAAGAATGGAAAATTCTTCCTGATTTCAGGTGACAGTATTATTATTATTATTATTATTTATTTTTTTTTTTTGGACAATGGAAAACTGATGAGAAGTTATGAAACCACACGGAGATGTTTTTGACTTTTACATTGAGAAAGCGTACGTACTTGACAGTCATAGTGTGGGGTGAACATCTGGTCGGTGGGAGCCTGGTTGCAGGATGCTTCCTGGTGGCCCAGGAACTGTCGGAGGGTCTGCGGCGACTCTGCCTGGCCTGAGGGTCTCCTCCTCTGCTCCAGGTCCTCCTCGCTGAGGCCCAGCTGGGCCGAGAGGAAGGCGATGTAGCGCATGGCTAAGCGGAGCGTCTCGATCTTGGTGAGGCTCTGTCCCTGGGGTGCCGCCGAGGCTGGCAGGTAAGACCTCAGATGGTGCAGAGCCTTGGTCAGGTCCCTCATCCTCAGCTTCTCCCGCTCGCTGGCCGTCTGGCGCTTCTTGCCCGGGTACCTGGATCGGGACTTCTTGACAGGAGCTGGAGCGGGACAGCTTACGAAGAAGCAGTCCCAGGCATCGGCCAGGTTAGGCGAGAAGGAGTCCTCAGAGGAGGTGGGGGACAGACCTGCGCTGAAGTACCCGGGGTCAGAGGCCAGATCGTAGAGCGGGTAGGATTTCTCCAGGAAAGACTCCTGGGAGAAGTTGCCCTGTTTCTGGGAGCGCTGGAATGAAGCCTCCATGTCTGACGTTTTCAAGTGAAGCAATGAGCTCTGCTGCAGAAGGCAAAAATCGAGCAGATGTGAGGACAGACAGAAAGGGCGCTCCATATATGGGGCGGAAGGTGCGAGGTTGCACCTTTTTTTGAGCCCCACGAGACTCTCTGAGAGAGGGCCTCGCACCTCGGCCGGGGGGTCCCATGGGAAAGATTCCAGCTCCTGGGTTGAGGTGCGAGCAGGCAGCATCATAAAATAAGATTCATTCACACCTCGAGAGCCCAAGACGCATGGGAAGGGCACACCAGACTTGTGTCCAGGATGAGGACTCAATGCAACCAATCAACTTGGTAGTTGGCCTGCGATTTGGGAGATGTGATTCAGACCATTTTCTGAGTACGCTTTTTAAGTAAGCCCAAAATGTCAGATTTCTACTTTTTTTTTTTTTTAACAAAGTTGTGCTAACCTCGAGAAAAAAATACATTTCATTCACGTAATAAAATGCCAATGCGGCACTTTCTTCATCCAAAATGTGATTACATTTGTAGCACTAACCTACTACAAAGAAATGTTTTGAGCAGAAGACCAACATAAGTTTAATTTTCGATTAAGTGCTTTTTTTAGCTAAATTTTAAGACTAAAAAAATCGTTGCACCCTTGAATGGTATTGCGCCCGCAAAACATATCGAATCATTTTTTAGGTGGGGTGTACACCAGTCGGTTTGCTGATGCTTTGTTGTTTCTTTTAATTTGATTAGCTTGGATAGTTTGGGCTTTGGAGAGCTGTTTCATCCGGTTGCATAAGAATTGATAATAATATCGAATTGAATCGTAATTCCATTGAATCGAACTGACTTGAATCATTAGATGTGAAAACCTTGACGTCCTTGAATCTCACATGATGACAAAATTTAAAGCTTTTCAAGTACAGTAAGACCCAAAATACGTTAATTTTCGAAATGCTTTCTTGAAACAATTAATAAACTCAAACCCGACACCCGCAGGGCTATGAAATCTTCATATGGAACTTAAAGGTCTTTAATATATTTATTATTCCGACAGCAATTCTTTGACTCACATGTATAAAAACAGAATAAAAAAAAAAAATAATAATTTAATTGTGAATCATAATTTGATTCGATTCCTTCCCGGCGACATGGAAGAGGAATTAGAAGTGTGCCGAGGCAGCTGGGAGGTGTGAGGGGTTGACTTTGCACCTCACGCCTTGTTTGGACAACCTGAGCAGGTCAGGCAGCTTCACTGCACTTCAAAGGACGACCGCATGCTCCAAGCTTCTCGGGATAAGCAAAGGCGCACTGGAATAATCACCGTGCAGCCGCAACAAGACACATTCAAATTATGGATGACGTATGATGATGTGATGAAAGATTTGGGGTTGGAAATTTAAAAAGAAAAAAAAAAAGAAGAACATAAGGGTATTTTGGTGTGGATTGAAGTATGGAGAAGCCTTCCCACAAAACGGGGTGTCACTTTTGCCTCCTGCTCCAGGTCAAGGTGTCACCTTGTTATTAGGAGGTCTCACTCCTCCTCCTCAGCCATAGAAAAAAAACAAAGAATAACAAAACGGAGGGCAGCAAAGGACCAATGTCAGGTTTGCATCATCTATGGCTTGTGCAGTTGTTTGCTTGACCTCTTAACAACAAAAGTAATGACTAGATTGAATGAATTCACGTGTGAAACTATCAATATCAAGTATAAAAGAACATTGGAAGTCCAAATGTGCTTTAAAAAAACAAAGACTGACTGTAGTACTACTTTTTAAAAAAATAAGTAATGCCTTGCTGTTAAACTATGTCAATCATATGTGATAAATGACATCCAAAAGGATGTCTCACTCTACATATTCGTATATACGTGTATGTCTATGTATACACGCGTGGAAAGAAAAAGTTAAGAAACCAGCATGTTTTCGTCAATTCCTTGTTCATTTTTATGTCTCGTGCCACTAAAAGTGTGAGCTTTTTCTGTTTTAATTTATATTTTTGTAGTATTTTTCTAAAATTTAAAAAAAAATCAAACCAAGGAAAAAATACAAATGAATGTTGATATGTATTAGGCTTGTTGTTTTAACAAAACTAATAAATATCCATGCAAACAGGAATATATTTTTATTGTTTAGAATAAAATAAAATTTCACAGAACCTTTAGTAAGTGGAAAGAAAACAAATACAACCAGAACAATTTAAACAAATAAAAATACATAAAACAATAGGAAATAAAAATAAACAGTACGAGAACCTAAGAAAAAAAACATTCTGTCAAGACACAATGTCATCATTTGTTTGTCCATAAAAAAGTACAAACTTTTGCAGATCATAACTAGACATTTTTTTCGTTAAAGAATTGATTTTAAAAGGAATTGAAGACGATATGAATACATATTAAACATTACAATGCCGAGAGTTTTTTTTTCTTATATATGTGGCTTGATAAAGAAGCCAAAATATTTGGAACATCTCTGAGTGTCCATTACAAGCACTGCAATAAACATCTCATCGAATTCTAAGTGAATGGCTTGGGTGTCATTTTGCTTAATGAAGTGAAGTGAGCGCTGGTTGTCAGGATGTGCTTTGTGTGTTATAAATTATAATCCACATTAGCAGCCAATGTGTTTACTCACATGCCCTAATGGAGGACTCAGCACCACGGCGTTAACTCTTTCATCCCTTCTTAGGCCTTATTAGCCCGAAGGGTGCCGAGTGTTTGTGTTGTTAGCCTGCATATCAAATAAAGCTAATAAGGCTAAGCTAAACACACTAGAAGAGGTCCAAGTGAGAGCTTGAGTCTAGACTCAGCGGTGCCAGGGAGCGCTGTTGTTTGCACTGCTACATTCGCACAAAAGTGCTAAATCAACTTTGCTACATTAGTCATTCCTGCTTCTGTGGTTATCAGCACACTTTCTGGAGTGACAGCAGTTTTTTTTTAATGGCAAAGAAAAAACAAACTTATGGAGTAAGAAGAATACATTTATTTGTCACAGGAAGTTGGCCATGTTTCAATAGCGCAACTAACATTTTCGAGGAATTTGCTTTTCTGGTCATTATTCGGTTCATTATTATCTTCACGGGAACCACGTCGTCACCAAATACGTCTTTTTTTTTTTTTTTTTTTTTTAATGAATCACGCTTCATACACGCTTCGCGAAGTTCGTCTTTCGCTGTTGTGGGACACACGCTTTGAAGAGTATACTTGAGGCGTCACTAGTTTTGTCTTAGTGTGGTAGCCGTAGTTTACTGTCAAAACGGCCGTCCAGTCGCGCATGCGCCTTGCCGCTTGTGTAGCCGTCGGCGATTGCGTCTTGGACAAGCGTTTCACTAAATAATTATTCCTGTATTAGTACTGAACGCAGTAAAGCCTCGACACAGTTGCCTCAGTACGATGAACTTGAGTGGGTGCACGTTGAAGTTGAACTGGCTGAGTCTGGTAGCCTCTAAAAAGGGGAAAAGAGAGGCGTGTTAGCGTCCCATCGTTGAGAAGAGGTCGATTGTAAAGTGTTGCGATTGTGGAGTGAAAATGTGTGCTAGAAAGACAGCAGAGTATAAGGAAGGACTTTGTGGAACAAAGGTGGACAAGGAGCGACAACGTTACCTTTTCAAGTTGGAACCTCGAGTTGTCTTAGACAGAACAGGTTGGTTCACTTCTCTATGGGGAGAGATTTGTCTCTAAAATATTCTCACAAATCCATCCGCGATTTACACGTTTTTCATATCTACAAATACTTTCGCTAATTTTTCGGATCCACAAATGTATTTGTGCTTTTCACGTTTTTATTCAGATCCACAAATATATGCCGGATTTTCACGCGTTCTTTTTTTCATGACGTATGAATCCATCCATCCATCCATTTTCATACTTTCTAAATATTACATTTTGCTGATGAAGTGTTGAACGCGCCTTAGTGGATCATTGGACAGCACATTTATTTTAGTCTACTGTATTAAATTTCTGTTCAGCGAGGGTAATTTTCCCTCCGCGGTCTGCACACATTAATTTGCCTGTTATTTTGCAATTCAAGTTGGATGGTCTTCGATTTAATGCAGCTCCAGACCGACGTCTATGAAAAGTGTAATCGATCACCCAAAGCACTTAATTCTGCCAGTGTTGCCACTTAATGCAAGCCGTGTCAATCTGAGATTAGTTTAGCAAATCGTATGCCTTCTCCGTCCTTCCTCGCCACTAAATTGCCAGAAGTGAAATTTATTCGCCGCCACAGAGACGGTGATTACTGAGCGACTCCGCAATGATGTCATAAGCCTCTAGTCTACACTACCAGAGCGACGCCTGTGCATGTAGCCCAGCAAAGCTTCTTGGGACTGTCTCAGCGCTTGATTACCAGTTTTGCTACTGAATGTGTTTTGATGAGGCACCAAATGCAAACTGTACCTCCCAAACTGTTGCGAAAACCACTTATTTTGAGACTTGTTACCATAACGTTTACCAAAATTAATACACGTGCAAGTCACAACATGAGATGTGACTGTGCTAAGATTGTCTTTTGTTTTCTTGTGTCCTGCAGACCTCCAACAAGATGATATTGTTCCTGAGCAGCAGGAGCCGGAATCGCTTCAAATAAAAGAGGAGGAGGAGCCAGAGTCCATCCAAATTAAAAAGGAGGAGCCACAGTCCATCCAAATTAAAGAGGAGGAAGAGCCAGAGTCCATCCAAGTTAAAAAGGAGAAGGAGCCAGAGTACTTCCAAATTAAAAAGGAGGAGGAGCCAGAGTCCATGGAAGTTAAAAAGGTGGAGGAGCCAGAGTCCATCCAAATTAAAGAGGAGGAGGAGCCAGAGCCTCCTCACATAAAAGAACAGCAGGAGGATGAAATCAGTTTTCCATTGCCTGATGTCATTATGAAGAGTGAAGGTGATGGAGACCACTGTGGAGGCTCGCAGTCAGACCTCTTCTTGGCTCCACTTTCAGATGGCGACGACTTCGTGTCACACTCTTCTGACGACGTTGGCGATAAAGATGAACACTCGAAAGGTCCTTCGACATGTCACAATAACAACAAATGCATGAAATGTTCTCAGTGTGACAAAGCTTTTTTCAACATGTCAACCTTGAAAGTACACATCAGCACACACACTGGAGAAAAGCCTTTTGGCTGCTTAGATTGTGGTAAAATATTTTCTAGAAAGGGAGATTTAAGAGAGCACACAAGAACCCACACTGGAGAAAAGCCTTTTGGCTGCTCAGTTTGTGAGAAAAGATTTTCAAGAAAGGGGCGTTTAAAAGATCACTTAAAAACACACACCGGAGTAAAACCTTTTGCCTGTTTAATTTGTGGTAAAACATTTGTTTCAAAGACACATTTAAACATGCACACGATGACACACACTGGGGAAAAACCTTTTGTCTGCTCCGTTTGTGAGAAAAGCTTTTCGAGAAAGACACATTTGAACAGACACACCAAAACGCACACTGGGGAAAAACCTTTTGCCTGCTCAGTTTGTGGGAAAATGTTCTCTCGAAAGGGACATTTAACAGAACACTTGAAAACACACACTGGAATAAAACCTTTTGCCTGCTTAATTTGTTTTAAAAGATTCTCTTCTAAGACACATTTAAGCAGCCACAGGAGAAGACACACTGGGGAAAAACCTTTTGCTTGCTCAGATTGTGGTAAAACATTCCCTGAAAAGAGGGATTTAAGACAGCACACACGAACGCACAGTGGTGAGAAACTGTTTGCCTGCTCAGATTGTGGTAAAAAATTTTCTCGAAAGGGAAATTTAACAGTTCACATAAGAAAACACACTGAGAAAAAACCTTTTGCCTGCTTAGTTTGTGTTAAAAGATTCTCTTCAAAGACATATTTAAGAAGCCACACAAGAAGACACACTGGAGAAAAACCTTTTGCCTGCTCAGATTGTGGTGAACGATTCCCTGAAAAGAGGTATTTGAGGAAGCATGCAGAAACGCACAGTGATGGCATGTGCAAACGGGTTTATGAAGAAAAGTCTGAAGAAATACGTGCAGGCAATCCCCGATTATCCAAGCACCCAAGATATCCACTCTCAAAGGAACGGTAACCATTTTGAAAAGTGCCCTTGGATACAATGCTAACAATGGTTCCGGTGTACAGTAATAACAATTCACATGAACCACACTGTGCAAAAACCTCTGGCCCGTTCATATTGTGGTAAAGGGTTTTTGGTTAAAGGACAATTAAAAAAACACACACTGGGGAAAAAAATGTCTGATTATTTAGAAAAATTAATTTCCCAAATTTTGTCATGTGCGTTATATTTCCTTTTATTTCTGTCCCTTTTTGGTCTATTTGTTTATAAATGCCTTTGAATGTCATACTTTTGATTAACCTTGCGTATGAAATAAAGCCCGAATGTAAATGCGTTGACCAGCCTTTGACAAAGCACTTTTCTCCCTCGCTAGTGGGCAACATAGCTTGTGCCTTTTCTTCCTTCGAATAGCTTTCTATTTTATTGTTTGTTCGTTTCCAATATAAAGGACGCCATGCTTGATATACTGTACAGCTTAATTGCTCGTCACATAATACAGTAATACTGTAGGGGGTTTAAAAATGGAACAGTAAACGAATTTAATTTCCGGGGTCAACATACTCAAGTCGTCCGGCGGGAAGAATACTGTGTAGGTTACAGAAGTAGATGATGAGTGCCACCTTGTGGGAGAATCCAGGTAACGAACTTTTAATGGCGACGCATCAGTACCGTTATGTGTAACGTTGGACTCCATTAAACGATTACAGTACAGTATTTCTCTCTCTCTCTCCCTCTCTCCCTCTCTCTCTCTCTCTCTCTCTCTCTCTCTCTATATATATATATCCGAGCGAAGTACCTATCGATCGATCTACTTGATTAGGTCACCTGCGTCTGATGACATCCGATGCATGGAGCGTATAGAACAAATCAAAATCACAATAATAATAGCATCATAGAGTTATTGTCATCAAACAATATTATTCAACATATTCAAGTGGGGACACAACTCTGTTGGCATCATTTTGACCAGTTTATTATAAATAGTGGTCTAAAAAAACATATAAAAATAGCATGTTCCACATATTCATATTTACACATAAATACAAATGACATAAGAAGTTATTTTTAAAAAATATATATAAATTAGTCCATTCACAGTGAGGCAGTAGTAGTCGTTGGATGGTTGTGGTGGCGGCGGCTATGTTGTCAAACCCAGTAGTAGTCGTTGTACTCAATCTGTATTAGATAAAAAAATGTTTTTATGATTATAGATAGATAGATAGATAGATAGATAGATAGATAGATAGATAGATACTGTAAATAATTTCCAGGTATCCTTTTATACCTGAGTAGAGGAGGAAGAGGATCCTCCCGGTGGCAACATGTGAGGAAAACTACAGCTCCCAGAATGCAATGCTGCAGTCTGGCCTTGACACTGCTGTGCATACATATCATGGGGGGGCTGCAGAGTGCTGGCGTAGTAATCCGGCGAACAGGTTGAAGAAGAGGATGAAGAGGTGGAAGTTGAGGAGGGCGTGTTGCCGAGTTGGGCAGACAGGAAGGAGATGTAGCGGATGGCGAGACGTAGGGTCTCAATCTTAGTGAGGGTCTGTCCCGTGGGGGCCACCGAGGGCGGCAGGTAGGACCTCAAGTGGTGCAGAGCCTTGGTCAGGTCCCTCATCCTCAGCTTTTCCTTCTCGCTGGCACTCTCGCGCTGCTTACTCCGGACCCTCATCGCCCTCCTGGGCTTTCTCTGCAAGGCCACGCCAAGGCGGGAAGTATATCCCGACTTGGCGTCTTTCTGAAGAAGAGGCGATGGCGACGAGTCCGGGGAGAGGGTCTCCGGCGAGGAAACTCCGGAGAGGTCCGAGTCAGAGAACCACTGCTGGTAGTGCAGGCTGTACTCGAGCACAGAGGAAGAAGGCATGTTGTTGGCCATGTTGCTAGAAAGAGCGGGGTTTCGAGTGTGTGCTGCTTTGCTTCCAAGCTGCCTTTTTTAAGTCCAGGCCGGAGTCCAGAAGGTGCCAAGTGACACCTCCGCACATTCCCACCACACACACACACACACACACACACACACACACACACACACACACACACACACACACACACACACACACACACACACACACACACAGACTAGAGAGTGGCCATGGCTGGGAAAAGCAGCAGCAGGAGCAGAGGTGTGAATTTTGACTCCTCCTCATAACAATAAACACTTTTTTTTTCTCTCATTCTAAGGTTTGTGGCTCTGGTTAAACTGAAATGAGTTTGGCACATGTCCCAATATTTTTGTATGGGATGGTCTCACAGATTGACTTGGAGGGGGAGAAAATGAACCTAAAATCATGAGTGACAAGAAAGTAATGCTAGTTTCAAACTAATCCTCGTAAATACTATGTGCTGGAGTTAGCTTTCATCTCTCAATTCCGTATCTGATGCGATTATCCTCACAAGGGTCGTGGATGTTAGCTTCACAAAATAATATATTTTTTCTGTTTTTAGTTCCATGACTATGTTTATTTTTTGGGGAAAGTTGGATTAAAAAAAACGAAAAAGCAGGGAGTTGTGAGAAAGCAGTTACTTAGCCTGTGTTGCCAAGCTAATGTTCGGGTAAATGTCCCTATGTTTTATAATACTTTTTGGAAAGCTGTGAAAAAATGGAACAAAAGATGAGAATGGGAAGAGAGTCATGACAAAATACTCTTGAACAAAATTTTCATTTCATTTAATTATTTATTTATTTGAAAGGGGCAACGCATGTCGATGAACACCGATGCAATACTTGCATATATGTGCCAAAGTTAGCATACAGCTAATTTATATTCGTAGTCTCTTAGAAGGTAACTTAAAACTGAGACAAGACATATTAACATGTAAGAAAATCCTTCAGCAGTTCAGACTTTCACTTTTAGTTTTTACTCCCACTTTTCACAGGCTGAACTCCAATTGCTCAGACTTTTATCCATGGTACTATACAGCAATCCACTGGGCAAATCCAATGTTGGTGGTCACCGCATACAGTATGCAGAGTTGTGAATGTGACAGTGTTGAAAATATTTCAGTTTCATTGCATTCTGCTTATAAATCATGAAGTGGATTGTGATAACTGAGCTACTGAGACGATTGATTTGTGACCTGTATCAATAACGTAATGTTGACAAGGAGCGCAAACGTCTCAGTTCTCCAAACATTTGTCCCTTCTCGCTCCGAGATGCGATCTCGGGTGGGAGGCGCAGCCGTGTAAATCAGGGATGGGCAACTCTGGTTCCTTGTGGGCTGCTATCCTGGATATTTTAGTTGTTTACGTCCTCCAACACACCTGATTCAAATGACCAGCTCACCAGGAAGCTCTGGAGAAGCCTGATAATGATCCTGATCAAACATCTAAAACATGCAGGGTCGTTGATGTCAAAAGAGGATGCAAACAAGTCAGATTTGATCTGCATTCATCGTCTTTTCTATATGCTGGTTTTAAATAGCACTACGTAGTGTCCCGACTGAGATAGCACATAACTGAAATGGCTTGTGTTACAGGCTCCATTTTTAGTGAACCGTGTGACAAGACTGCTAGAAAAAACATTGGCTTGTTAAAATGGTCAGTAATGAGTTAGTTCGAACAAAAATTTTTAATTAAGCATTGCCATGCATGATAACACTATCTTAAAAGTGTTATTTTAGGTCGTTATGCAGTGTTAATTTTTGATCGAGGAATCCTCAGAAAACTACTAATGTTGGCTTGAAAATAACTGCAGTCTGCTACCTGTGTTCACTTTAGAGAAAGTTGCGCGAAAAGGGAAAAACAAAGGACCATAAGATGACAACATGGGACAGTGTGGTGATAATGTGGTTACTTCGCCTGTGTTCCAGGCTAACCGAAGGAAAACATGCTAACTTAAGCTTAAAAAACATTTTTAAAATGTGGCTAGGCCATGTTACAAGCTAATCCAAGCAAAAATGCTAAAGTTGTCTTAAAAATGACTACTGTGTCTATAAAATGTGTTCTTTGGTGTTGACTACTGTTTTTTTTTTTAGTTAGTTTGGCTTTATTAAAAGATAATCCTCGTGAAAAGTACTAATGTGTTGGCTTGAAAATATTTATAAAATGGAGGCTAAAGTTTTTGTTGTTCTTACTCACCTCTTTCTAAACTTGATCAGGACTGTCTCTCTCCTCTCAATATTTTATTTCCTAAAACTACTCGTAACTTGATGCCATGGCGGAGCCATGAACTTTGAACTATAAGACAAAAAAATAACAGTCATCCATACATTTTCTGCTTTTGATCAACCACAGACTGCATCATGTATAAAAATTGTTTTTGTACATGAATGATGAGTGTGTAGTGACGACAATGTCGTGAGCTGAGGTTGCCAGGCCTTCACGCTGATGAGAAAAGATGAGGCCCAAGGTGTCACTTCACACCTCAGCTGTGAGAACCTCGCTCTGACCATTTCTTTTCCTCGTTTGGACAACACTCAACCGTGTGACTTTCTCACACTGAATTTGAAGGTTTGCTTGCAGTAATGTTGATTATATTTCATATTTGGAACATTTTAGACACGGTGTTGCACAGTTTGATTCAGCAATTAGACCAAGCCCTGATAGCTACAGACACAAATGCTACATGAGCATTAAAAGCACCCAAAAACCATGCTATCTCTCACTCAGTTCATTTTCGGTGTGAAATTTTGTGTAGCTTAAGTGTAATCAACAAATTTCATTCATATTTGTATGAGAATGAACAATGCAGTCTTGGGATTTCTCGTCAATCTGGCACTTTTTGATCATTAAACACATTTGACAAGGAGGCATTGAAGTTTTATCTGACAAACAACATAACAGGAGGGAGGGTTAAACAAAACAACGTGCATAAAAATAATTGTAATATCTTCGTTAAGGGACCCTATTTGGTTCTCAAAGGGTACTGAAGGGTTAAATAGGTGCCCCAGGCAGTTACTGAGTCAAGTGGAGGGCAGAGCGAATGGCTTGAACCCGTGCCACGACCCGCCCATGCACTGCGGCCGAGGTGAGGTTGTGGGAGTGTGGCGGGCAGTTTGGCACCTCGCTCGGGGGTCATCGCCCACCCACAGCAGGCACTGAGGCCGGGCCGCCCGCCACCTGTCTGGACCCTTCGGCCGATCTTGCCGCGACCTCCACATGGAAGGATCGGGAATGATAGGAATTGGGGATTTAAGAAAGGTTTTCACTCTGTCAAGAGACCTTTGCCAAGGCAAATCAATTTTCATTAGGATTCAATTCAATTTTGTAATTAAAATTTCTGCATTATTCACTGGTTGGGAACATGGCCAAAATGCCTTATGGTAGCATAATAATCAATAAATATCAATACAAAATGAATAAATAAAAATGATGAAAAGAATGAATGAATTTTTTTCAAGTCCTTTTAGCAAAAAACAGTCACAAAAATGCAAAAATAAATTTTCAAAAATTACAATTAAAGAAACAATACCCATATTAACAATCCAAGATGAAATTGATCAAATAAAAGAACTAATGCATTCAAATCAATGAAATAAAATAATTGAATACAAAAAATCATCAAACTTCAAGTTTAATGACTATTCAACAAGTTCACACAATGAAGAAATAAATTAATACAAAATTAAATATAACAGAAGAAAAATTGTGTAGACAGTAAATGAAGTAAAAACAAATAAAGTTCCAAAATCCTGTTAGCAAATAATAGATAAAAGATGCAATTAAAATTATTATTATTTTAATAGATAAAAATATTTACTCCCATCCAAATATACAATTGGACTTTTTAATGTCCAAATTGGTATATTCCTTCCAATCGATGACTGTATGTGTCATTTCATGCTGTTGTTTGTGCACCCCTGCAATGCTGCGTGAACGTGTTTTTGTGTGTGTTTGTAAGTGGGGGTGGTGTGGTGTGGCTGAGGGGGGTCACATTGCACACCTTAGGTGCGAAAGGAGGTTGGAGCGGGGAGGTTATCCAGGGGTGGACAGTAAATTTCATCTAATTGTGATGGGGCGACATGTGTACTCATGAACGCAGCTGTCAGATTACTGTCGAGACAGTCATATATTGTGAACATATTAGTGGGTGAGTGCTGATAAAGATGGCGGACTCATCATCATCATCATGAGTGTGTCAGAGTAAACATGTTCTCCTCCTAGTGTTAGCGCTATCTCACACTTGTGTGCTGACATGGTTTTGCACATAAAACTGCAAGCAAACCCACCCTCTTGATACACAGCTGCCACATACTACTTTTTCTCAACCCATGTTGCACATACAGTATATTGTATAGTAACAGTTTTAACATTATATGCAGTAGATACCCCCTGAGATTTTTTTTTTTTTTTTTTTTTAAGACTGAATGAAAATTTCAGGGCGGGCCGGTGGTCCAGTGGTTGGCGTGTTGACCTCACAGTGCAGAGGTCGTGGATTCGACTTGGCTCCAGCCTTCCTGTGTGGAGGTTGCATGTTCTCCCCGTGTCTGCGTGGCTTTTCTCCGGGTACCCGGGTTTTCTCCCACATTCCAAAAACATGCTTGGCAGGTTAATGGAACACTCTAATTGTTCCTCAGTGTTAGTATGAGTGTGAGCGTGGATGGTTGTTCATCTCTGTGCCCTGCGATTGGCTGGCAACTGGTTCAGGGTGTCCCCCGCCTACTGCCCGAAGATGCTGGGATCGGCTCCAGCACCCCCCGCGACCCTTGTGAGGATAAAGCGGATCAGAAAATGGATGGATGGATGGATGAAAATTTCGATTTGTAAAGGCATTTTTTATCATACCATCCACAGTCAAGCCTTCATGAACTAAAATTCAGTTTCATAAAATAAAAAGGTAAAAAACGAAATAGACCTATAATATAAATACATTTTAAAAATCCATACTGTTTGTTTGGCCTGATATTTTCTCAGCAAAATAATATTCTAATGCCGAACAAATATTAATTTAATGGTTTATACTCTAATTGTATGACGGAAAATGTGAGGTGGCTATATAAGGGAGGCATTTTTTCGTCATGGGACAATGCAAACGGCACCTGAATGGGGTTTGGCCTCTATCATAGGGATGGCCACTTGTGGAGGAAATATAATGTCTCATTTAAAGTCTTTACCAAACAATTAATACAAAGCGAAAATTTGGACCAACATCCCTCAGCTTTATTCAAGTCATGTCAGAACTGCTATGTTAGATTATACACAGGTCTACAATATGTACAAGCATGAGTATTATTTTCATTGAATATTTTGTTGACGTAAAATCACATACACACAATGCGCACACTCATGGCAAAAAATAGTCACACGCTCCTCTGAAATGTTAACATGTGTGTCAGAAACGCAGCAGGTTTGTTGAAGAATGTTCTTTGTTAGTCACAACAATGTTACAGAGAGAATATTACAGCAAAAAAAAACCAAACAACACAAATACACAATGTGGAGTCATTCCCATTAAAAAACAAAACAAAAACAAACAAAAAACAAAACACACACACACACACACACACACACGCACGCACGCACGCACACACACACACACACACACA